TGTCACCCTGGGTAGAGTGCTGTAGTGTCCTAGCTCACAGCAACCTCAAAGTCTTGGCCTCAAGTGATCCTCCTGCCTCACTCAGCCTCCTGAGTAGCTGGGACTATAGGTGCCCGCCACAACACCTGGCTATTTTTTTGACACAGGGTATCATTCTTGCTCAGTTTGGACTCAAACCCCTCAGGTCAAGCAATCCACCCACCTCGGCCTCCCAGAGTATTGGAATTACAGGTGTGAGCCACGGCACTGGCCTTGAACATTTTTCTTGAAATTGTCATCCTTGTAGTCTATGACCTGACTGAATGATCAAAAGGTCTGAAGACAAGCTGAGTAATTTCTACTGCTCCTGGAGATTTCTTCGTGCCCCCACTTAGACCCTCATTCCTTTTCCATTACTCAAGTAGTGACATCTACAGATGATGGATAGAGATGATGGAGCAGAAGACAAACTCAGGTGATGATGGTTCTGTGCCGTATGGAATTGGCTCTGTTTCACTCAGATATAACGGAATTCTCTGTGGACCTTTTGAAAACTCTGTAGCTTTCTTTAGAAGTCAAAAACCTGAAGGAAAATCCCAGGTTCAACAGAACAGAGCCTTCAGGGAGGGGCCTCAGAGACAGTAGGACCCTTGCTACCCCAAGTGCAGGAAGGAACAGCATGGAACGGAGCCATGCCCCGCCATGGGCCACATGCTCATGGTGGCCAGGGCAGACGACGGTGCCTATGGGGCCAGGGTCAGAAGCCACACAAGGGGGCAGAAGGGGTGCCCATTCTCCAGGCATCACCATTACACTCTTCTCAGAATCCTATACCACCAGGGAACTAGAAACAGGACCTATTGAAACATATTTATCTTCTTGGAATCTTTTTGGCATGCATTTCTCTCCCTCTCAGGAAAAGAATGTCAGTGATAAAACCCAGAAATGCAGAGCTGAAGCATTTCTATGAGTGAAATGAGTGCTTTTAAAAGAGAAATGATTCAAGGCTGATTTTCGTATTTGTTGTTTTGACTGCTGCTGTTGGTTTTTGTTTCATTTTTACCCAATTCCTAGAAGTTACTGAATTAGAGTTTTTAAAGTTATGAAGGTCCTTAGAGATAATCTTTTCCAGTCTTTTCTTTTTACATAGGAGGAAACAGAGACCAAGAAACTTGCCCGGTAGCCTCCTAGAAATATAGCACAAGCCCCTGGGCCCTCTCTCCTCAGCCCAGCTGGCTACCATTCTCACTTCGCTTCATTATTTTCACACTCACTTCTGTCAATTCTAAGAGTGATTTTTTTTTAGTCCCTGAAGAATAAGTTTCATAGAATAGACAGCATGGGCTCGGCACCTATAGCTCAACCGGCTAAGGCGCCAGCCACGTACACCTAAGGTGGCGGGTTCGAATTCCCAGCCCGGACCTGCCAAAACAACAATGACGGCTACAACCAAGAAATAGCCGGGCGTTGTGGCGGGCGCCTGTGGTCCCAGCTACTTGGGAGGCTGAGGCAGGAGACTCGCTTGAGCCCAGGAGTTGGAGGTTGCTGTGAGCTGTGATGCCACGGCACTCTACCCAGGGGGACAGCTTGAGGCTCTGTCTCAAAAAAAAAAAAAAAATAGACAGCATGTCCACAAGTAGGAACCATACCAAACTGGATATGAGAAACTCTTAGATGTGAGTAGACAAGTATGTTGATCCCAAGCGTTCTGGAAATTACCATGCCCCCTGACACAGATTTGCACACTTTAAGTCTCAGGAATATTATAATTTGATCCTTTATGTGTGTCATTCACTTGTTCAGGGGTCATGGGAGCACTCTTCTGGATAAAAATAACTGCCATTTTTCAAGTATAAACACAGGTTTTCTATTTTATGTAATGGACCTGCAAATTAGAAAGAAAGGTCAGTTTCACAATATGCTTTCCCCTGGCGTGTTAGCGAAATTATAAACATGAACTAGAGCATTTAGGTCTCCAAACACCTCTGCTTTCTTTTCTCTGTGCAGCAATAAGGTTGGATGGAATACAAGTGTTTGGTTACACTGCCTGGTCTCTGCTGGATGGCTTTGAATGGCAGGACGCTTACACTACCCGCCGAGGATTATTTTATGTGGATTTTAATAGCAAACAGAAAGAAAGGAAACCAAAGTCTTCAGCACATTACTATAAACAGATCATACAAGAAAATGGTTTTATTTTAAAAGAGTCCACGCCAGATGTGCAGGGTCAGTTTCCCTGTGACTTCTCCTGGGGTATCACTGAATCTGTTCTTAAGGTAAGTGGCTACTTCCAAATCAACCATAAACTGGAGCAAAGGGTACACAATATTTTATTTCATTTACTTAATGACACCTAAAAGACAGCCATCAGACGGCATCAAATATCATGATTATCTGAAGGTTATGAAAGAGAGCTGGGAAAAGAGGGTAGTTAGTGCTTACCAAGAACCTGTTACAGCCTGAACTCCTACCTGGCAATGGAGATGGAGGACAGAGGAGGCTGCCCCCAAAAAGCTTAGGCTACAAGGAACGTATAATCATTTTTGTCCAAGGCATCTGTTAGTAGAGTCAAACGAGAGGGAAAATTTCTCTTTTTTCTTTTCTTTTTTTTTTTTTTTGACACGGAGCCTTAAGCTATCCCCCTGGGTAGAGTGCCGTGGCATCACAGCTCACAGCAACCTCCAACTCCTGGGCTCAAGCGAGTCTCCTGCCTCAACCT